TGGACTACTTCACGAGATGGGCTGAAGCTTTCGCGGTTGCGTCACTGGACACGATCTCTTTCGTCGATGCTATGATCGAGGGTGTAATTTGCAGACATGGCGTTCCAGAACGATTGCTTAGTGACCGAGGAACGAACTTCACGTCTGATTTGGCACGATCTCTATATCAGACACTAGGGATCAAGAAGTTGTTTGGAGCGGCCTATCATCCTCAAACTCAAGGACTAGTGGAGCGATTCAACGGAACATTGTTGGGGATGCTTAAGATGTTTGTGAATGAGACCCAGACCGATTGGGACATTTATTTGCCTCGGGTCTTGTTGGCATACCGGACTGCGTATCACGAGGGTCTGGGAGACACTCCTTTCTTCAGTCTATATGGACGTGACCCGGTTCTACCTATCGACTTAGCCTTTCTCAACACTGGAAAAGACTGGAAAAGCAACGAGGTTGCTGCGTACAGGAGGAAGTTGTACTTGTCGTTACGTGACTCAAGGCGTCTAGTGGAACGACAGCTACTAAAGGCTCAAGATCGGCACGAGCAGCGTTTGGGTAAGCAAGTCAAGGTCACATATGAAGTGGGGGATCCCGTTTGGGTCTATCAGTATTTCAGAGCGAAAGTCGGTGAAAACAAGACGAAGAAGTTGGCGTTCTCTTGGCACGGTCCGTACCGTATTGTCGGCCAAGTCGGGGAGAACGCCTACAAGATTGCGATACCCAGACATCCTGACAAGGTTGTTACGGTGAATGTGAATCGGTTGAAGCGCTTCCGTGGTCGTTGGAGTCGACCGTTCGCTGATGATATTCCTGAAGGTTCGACCGAGAACGTGACTACCGAGAACGTGACTGATGAGAACGTGACTACCGAGAACGTGACTGATGAGAACGTGACAACAGAGAACGTGACTGGAAGCGACATGCGTACGGAACCAGGACCATTGCAGGAGGATGATCTACCTCCATCGAGTTTTGTGGAACGTTTGTCTATTGGAGGTGAAGAGACTGCTTTTGCTGGTGTCTCGTCGCCTATTGTGGATATTCTTGCGAAGAAAATGGAAAAGGGCGAGCTTCAGTACCTGGTACTGACAGCTACCTACGAGACGTTTTGGCTGTCACGAGCTGCTCTAGCTCCGGAGTTCGGAACGTTAATCACTGCCTTTGAAGATGCAGATCGTAAGAAGAAGGGTTTGCCGGAGTTACGTCGGAGCGCCAGGTTGGTCGAAGCCAACGCTGACGTGGACGACGCGGATGTGTTGTTCTAGCTGGTCACTTGACCGGTTGGAACGAGTGGAGTGTGATGACTTCACTCTAATCGGTATTTGAGAACGAGAGAATCTCAAGATGCTGGGCTGTATTGCTGCATTTTACATATGAGAACGAGATGAGCATGGATACTTTGGGTTCCAATTTGGAAGAGTTGTTACGAGACGAGATTGTCTGGAACGAGACAAGGTTGGAACGAATAATTTGGAACGGCGCGTCTAACATTGATGGAACGATGGTGATTTGTGAAAGATTGTGGAACTATAAGAAGTTTAGGGACGCAAAATTATTCTGAGGCAATGAACTGATAGTCGGACGACTACTACTCGCGTTAGCTGGAAGACTACTTTTTGGTGGCTTTCTCTTTGGCGGCTGGAGCTTTCTCGGGAACAGCTTTCTCGTTGTCTCCTTCGTCGTCAGCCTCCGCCTTGTTGTCTTCGTCCTCTTCGTCCTCGTCCTCCTCGGCCTCTTCGTCGTCCTCAACCGCTTCGTCTCCATCTTCTCCGTCGTCAGCGTCGGCTTTGACTTCCTTAGAGTCGGTAACAGTGGAGGTCTCGACAGCAGCGGCAGGATCGGCGGCTTTAGTCTCGTCTTCGTCCTCCTCTTCGAGATCGGACCATTCGGCACGCTTGACCTCCGTCTTGGTCGGACCACGGACTTCGGGAAGTTGGTACGTGCCATTCTTCAACTCTGTCGCGACGGTAAGCTGGGTCTGCTTCACGGTAGCGTCGCTGATGAGGGTCCTCCAAGGTTCGTCACTCTTCGACCCTACCCACGTGTCCTTGGGCGTCACTAACGATTGGAGGTCGAGACGAACGCGTGCCAGAGCCACCATGGACAGCCGATTGGCCGGCTTAGCGGTAGGGACCAGAGCCTCCGTCGTCTCCAGGAGGGCGCGAATGCTTGGGTAGACGTAGGCGTCGATCTGCACGGGTTCCAGTGCATTAGCGATCGTGGCTTCGTATCGTTCCGGATCCTTGTCTTCGAGGGAGGTGAGAGCGTCGGCTAGAGGTCCATCGTAGTGCAGCGTCTTCTTATTGTCTCGGCCGGGCTGGCCGCCCATCCAGAACATCAACGGGCACTTATCGAGGAGCGTGAGAAAGACATAGAAGCCCCAAGTCTCAATGCACAAGCTCATGAAGGCGACTCGGGCTTGAACAGCTCGCATCTTTGCCTTCCGGCGGTTATTCTGCGCCGTCTCCGATGCCAAAGGCGCGTACAGAGCCCACTCCCAAAAGGCACGCCGATGCATCATCCAGAAACGCCAATGGGCACGATACACAGCGCGGAAACGGATAGGATTGTACCATTGAGGTCGTCCGGTCCACGGGAAGGCGATACACCAAGGCTTCTTTCCTGCTGCTTCGGCCTTGGCGAGGATCGAGTAAACGGCAGCCTTCACAGAGTCGGGTGCGTCGGGATTCAAGTCGATCAACGCCTTATACTCCGCGGACGGAACGAGTGGAGATGGTGACGGAGCAGGCTTGTCACTACTGCGTAGTTTCTTGGTCGTCTTGACAGGTGGTGGTCCGCTACGGGTTTTTCGCTTGCTACGGGTGGTCTTCTTCGCAGACGAAGTGGCTGAAGCGGTGGACGACTTGGCAGGCGACGGTGCTGGAGCTGAGACTCCGGGCTGCGAAGGCAGAGCGACTACGGGACCGTGCAGAGAAACTGGAGACCGTTCCTCTAACAAGTCATCCACGAGTTGGTCCAGATGTGCTAGACCTGTAGATAGGCCGTTGCCTTCCAAGTGTCCTCGTAACTCGGTCCAGAACTCCCGCTTGATGGCCTTGGCGTCGTCGCCTGGCGTTCCATGTTCGTCGTAGTCGAGTGCTGCGTCGAAGAAGGCCTTGAAACGCGTGTGCTCTGCTGCTGACAGACGCTTGGACATGGCGAAAGAGAGGCTATTGTCGTCGAAAAATGCTCGCTGCTGGGATAGTTGGAAACTGACGGATAAGTTTCTCTCGAAAGGTTAGTGGCTGACGGAAGGGACACGTCGGAGAAAAAGACGTTAGCGACTGGGTGTAGAAATGGAACGACGTGAGAAATAACGATTTGGGTGACTCGTGACGACAGTTGGGACGAGGATGCTAACGGACAACACTGGCTGGATCTCTCAGTCTTAAGCGGCGTCATTTGAGAATGGCGGAAGTGCTGGAGAAGTGGTTTCACTGGAAGGATGTGGTGTGGTCGACTGTTAAGCTCCCCGAGATGGAGACTGGAGCGATGTTGGGCTGTGCTGTGGCTGGTATCGCGGTGTGGGTTGTCACGACTCCTTTACGGAACGTGGGATGGGCATTAGGTGCTAGTGCGCTGGATTGCGGTACTACTATCTGTTTCTTTTGGTACACTTGTAGTGACAGATTTGAAACTACGGTGCGTGGCGCGAACGCGAAGGCACTGCCTCCCAGGGAATACGCGTGTATTTTGGTCACGTTGTTGTTCCTCGTTCCTATGGCGGTACTCCGGAACTACGAATCTCGATTTGGAATATTCGGACGATTGTGCCTTAGGTGGTGCGAGGCGTGGCATCACTCGTTCTGCCTCTTCGTTCCTGATGTGGTGCAGCTTATCTGGACGTCTTCCTGTCGTTACTTGAGGGCTATGGCTGAAGCTGTGGTTGCCTCGATTGATCGTGTGGGCGAATATCTAACTGGTGTCTATCTCGTGATGCAACTGCTTATGTCTCTCATGTTCTACTTGCCACGCATGCTGTATGAGGGCGTGGAGGGCGTACTATGCGGATGGATGGGCGTCGCATTTGTTTCGCTACTAGTTGACGTGGTGCTGGAATTCTCGATCGCTTGTCTCTATTGGAACGCGTCGGTGCTGACGCTGGGTTGCTATAGTCACGCTACGAGGTATTATTGGGCCTCGCAAGCAGGTGGAGTCGATCGATCTGGCATTTCAACGGCTCAACAAGGGTGGACTAAGCTCGGGAATAAGAAAGAGCGCCGGGAAGGGAGAGAGAAGGCCAGCCTCGACCTTTTGCGTGGTAGTCCGAGAAGTGGAACGTCGTCGGTGGAAAGAGATTCAAGCGGAGCTTCGATTGGAGCGACACCTGTCGTTCCGGATTCGACGACCACCACTGCCGTCGGACATGCTGAAGGGAACGAGGCTCGGCGAGGACTCCGAGCGTCAGTCGGGGAGAATTGTCACGGTCTACGGCTGGCAGAAGGACTGGCTATTCTGGACGAGTGTTTCCGACAGTTTAGTGCACGGCAGAAGCTTAGTGCCTCGTCTGACTATCCCGTCTCTACTACTCAGACGGCCTCGTTCCAAGTCTGACGTGGAACCAAGGAATCCAGACAGTGGGAGGGTAGTGAAGTTGAGAGTGATGTCGGTCAGGATGGGGACTATTAGGAGATACTTTCGGAGGTAGGAGAGCAGGTAGGGAAGCTCTCAGTCGTGATTTTCCTTCTTTCAACAGAAGTGCTCAAGAAACAGAAACAAGAAACAAGTTAATACATTTGCTTTACTTTTCCGTATAAGTTCCTACGTCGCCGGCTTACATAAGATACACGACCCCGACGAGAGAAGGAGACCGCGACAACTTATGGAGTTCATATCGGAACCCGGTGATGTAATCATGTTTGACGCTGTTGTCAAAATCAACCCAAAACGTTCGCCCAAATTCATTAAAAGCGCGCCCCCCCTTTAGAAATTCACGAAATCTTCGGAAGTGCCGGTTCGGAAAAGTCGGTCATTCCGAGACGTGAGCATTTCTATCGATACCGATGTATCAGACGCAAGATGGTGCTGGGAGCAGCTACACGTCGACGATCTACGGGTTTATCCGTGACCAAAAGTACGAGGAAGCTGTGCGAGTCCTTCAGATCGAGCTAGAGAACCACCCGCACAGTCGAGCAGCTCTATCACTTCTCGGTTACTGCTACTACCACATGCAGCTCTTTCATCAGGCCGTGGGCATGTACGAGCAACTGTGTGCAAACTACCCAGAAGTGGACGAATACCAGCTCTATCTAGCGCAATCACTGTACAAATCCGGTCAATACGACGCAGCTTCCAGACGAGCGAGTCAACTGGAGAGCGAACAGTTCGCACAACGCGTGCATCTACTAAGAGCCGCCTCCTACTACGAGCAGAACGACATAAAAGCCACGCGGTCCGTACTGGAAGAGTGTCTACCCGACGACCCGACCACGATCGTGTTCGACGGGGCTATTGAGTACAAGGAAGGTCGCTACGAGGCTGCTCGTGTTAAGTTCGCTGACGCCCTCAATATTTTAGGTTACCAACCAGATTTGTCCTATAACATCGCCCTCTGTTTCTTCAAGATGAAACAATACGGCAACGCCATGCGGCAAATAGCCGAGATCATTGAAAAGGGGGTACGAGACCATCCGGAACTCAGCGTCGGTAGTAAAAGCGAGCAAAACGCCGACGTCAAGTCCGTCCGGAACTCGACGGTACTACGCGAGACTGCGCTCGTCGAGGCCTTTAACCTCAAAGCAGCCATCGAGTACGAGATGAAGAACTACAAAGGAGCTCGAGACGCTCTACTGGATATGCCACCGCGACAGGAAGAAGAGCTGGACCCGGTATCGCTCCACAACTTCGGACTCATGAACATGGACGTGGACCCGAACGGCGGCTTCAAGAAGCTCAATTTCTTACTGCAAAACCCTCCATTTCCCGTTGAAACCTTCTCCAACTTGTTGATCCTGTACACGAAGCACGGCTTCCACGACCTCATGGCCGATGTATTGGCCGAAAATGCGCATCTGACGTTTCAGTTACTGTCGAAGGAGTTCTACGACTTCATGGACGCCACCGTGACACTACAGACGTCACCCGAAGACGCCTATCGCACGTATGACGAGCTGGCAACCAAACACGTTGAAGGGCTGCGGAAACTGACCAAGAAGATCCAGGACGCGCGCTTGGCGCAGTCGAACGAGGACATCAAAGCCTCCTTGAAAGCCTACGATGACGCACTGGAAGACTTTATGCCCGTGCTCATGGCTCAGGCGAATATCTACTGGGAGCGTGGCAACTACACGCAAGTGGAGAAGATTTTCCGCCAGACGGCCGAGTTCTGCTCGGAGCACGAGGCCTGGAAGCTCAACGTCGCGCATGTCTTCTTCCTCCAAGGCAACAAGTACGAACAGGCTATTCAGTACTACGAGCCGTTCGTGAAGAAGCATCAGGACAACTTGTTGGATGTGCAGGCCATAATCTTGGCCAACCTGTGCGTGTGCTACGTCATGAACACTGACAACGAGAAAGCGGAGGAATTACTGCGCTCCATCGAGCGAGAAGAGGAGGAGGAATCGAGTCGCGACCCTGAGAAAAGACTCTTCCACCTCTGTATCGTGAACCTCGTTATCGGCACGCTCTACTGCTCGAAGAACAACTACGACTTTGGTATCTGTCGAGTCATGAAGAGCATGGAGCCGTATCATCGCAAACTTGGGCCGGACACGTGGTACTATGCCAAGCGCTGCTTCCTCGGGCTGGCGCTTACTCTGGCCAAGCACATGACCACCATTCGAGACTCGACGATGGATGATATTCTCGAATTCTTGGACTGCGCTGACCAACATGGCAAGGACATTTTCACGACAACGGAAGCGGATCAGAAGAGTGCAAACGTATCTGGGAGCAACGCCATCCAGCACACGATCAGCTACGAGGTACGTTGCGCGTATAATTGTCGGCAAATTACATTTGTATTTTTACGATGTTTTCATGCACAGGCTCGGGTCCTAAAGCGAACATTCCTCAAGCTTCGCTCCTAGGACACAGAAAAATAGCCAATATCTTTCATTTATTGCATGGAACGACAATGTAGCTTTGACATAAATAATGCTAAGATAGAGCGAGTGGTTTCACTTCAGCCCAGCTTATTAATAAGCATCTATATTCTACTGTTGCTGTCGTCGCTGGTTCACGGTGATTGGTACTTTGGAACTGCAGCGTGCTTGAAACTGTTTCGATAGTAGGGTCAACCAGAGATAGACACGAGCTTATTACTAGCTTATCAGACCGGTTCAAGTAGCCAGCAGTGCGTGGCTACGCAATGGTGCGGTACATTGGAGACCTGCTTTAGTCTGGATCTTCAGCCCGTCGTCTGTATTATTTTCCATTTTACCACCTTCCTAACAACTGTACCAAAATAACAAGCCGATCTTTACAGGATGGAGTCAGGATACACCACTTCCACGACCCCGCCAGTCATCGACATCACGAACAAGTCCGGCACGTACGGTAATTACCCTGACACGCCCGACTCTCCGCGCCAGATCGACCGTTGCGAGCGTTCACTGCACCACACCAACCGCAGTCAGTACTCGAGAGACGAAGATCACGACACGCAGTGGTTCGTGACCAGTAACGCCCACTTACGTGAATGCTACGCAGAATTCCTCGGCACCTTCGTCATGATCTCCTTCGGCATGGGTGTCAACAACCAAGTCGTTCTCTCAAAGAAAAGGGAAGGCACGTGGCTCAGTATCAACATGGCGTGGGGTATCGGCGTGCTCATGGGCGTCTACTGCTCTGAAGGAGTGAGCGGTGCTCACATGAACCCAGCCGTCACGCTCGCTCACGCCGTATACGGTCGTCTACCATGGCGCAAAGCACCTGGCTACGTCATCGCTCAGCTCCTCGGAGCTTTCGTTGGAGCTTTCGCGATCTACCTACTCGACTATCAGCGTCTTCACAAAGCGGACCCAGACAAAGAAACTATGTTCCGCAACTTCGCTACTCATCCAAACCCGGAGATCTCCAATCTCACGGCGTTCTACACGGAAGCATTGGCGACCGGTATACTCTTACTGTGCATGTACGCCATCACGGATCAGCGTAACCGTTCACCTGGTACCGTCGGCACTCCGTTCGCGTTTGCACTTATGATCATGGCGCTCGGTATGAGCTTCGGTATGAACACGGGATACGCGATGAATCCGGCCCGCGATTTCAGTCCTCGCCTGCTTACATTCTTCGCTGGCTATGGTTCGAAGGTTTTCACCGAGAACAGCTACTACTTTTTGGTCCCAATGTTCGCACCACTAATTGGAGGCGTTTTCGGTGCGGGTGCGTACGAGATCCTCGTGCAGGTACAGCACCCGCACGACCCGTCCGAGTTCATCTGACAATTTAGGCGAATCAGTAACAACGAGACAAGAAAACACAATTGGTACATTAGCCACTAGATCCCTGCTCATGTCATGAACACGAGTAAACTCATATATCTCTTTATAAAGTATCTATTCATTGTGTTGAAAAGTGAACGGATTGTTTATTAACATTTCAGATCAATCACAAAAAGGTTCCACACCGCTCATGTCAAACGTAAACTTTCAGGGAACGATAAAAACTAAAGCATGGACGGAGACACGATCGAGCTGATTGTGCAATACGGCAAGTAGAGCGTTTAAAAGTGCCACGTAGACAAATTCATCAGCATTGTTGACGTTGTTGCTGAAAAAACGCTATCTTCGTTTCAAACGTGTTTTCAGCCAATAATCAGTCGACATCTCTTGGTATCCGTCTCAGGCATTGATATCCACTTAAACTATTGTAGACCACGATTCCTTTAGCTTTATCCCTCACTTTCAATTCCGCCAGCACACCTCTAGTTAATGACAGCCACGTGATGACGGGTCGCAAACCACCGACTCGACGCCTTACAGTCATGCCCTCGAAACTCACATCCCCATCAATGACCGCGAGTACCTTCAAACAGATTACCACGAGTCCACTAAGCGACGACTATTCGTCACGCACAACGCGCACCTGCGTAAGTATCTAGCCGAGTTCTTGGCTACAGTCTTAGCCATCGCCTTCGGTCTGGGGTGACCCAGGGCGCGTCACCGGGCTGCTCTCAAGATGTCTATCGCTTCTTAGAGTAGGTGCCATGAGGCAACTGACACTATAGTAGCAGTAGAAGTAAGAGCAGGTAGAAGAAGTACGTTTAGCACAGTAAGTGCCGGGGCAAAGCTCGACAGGACCGTGGCGTTCTGGTGTGGGGCTGTTGCTTGCTGCAGATAGCAAAGGCCGAAGTGATGCACTGCCACACACCCGAGCGCCAGCGTTCCGCAAAGTAGATTAGTTCATAGTATCTTCAAGTAAGTCTATAGTAGACACCAATAAGATGCCGTCCACTGCGGCAACACTTGTGCAGTGGCTCACTGCCAACCATGTCTCGATGCATACAAACATCAGTATGTTTGTACTCGGTCCCGCTGCAGTCGCGAAGCCGGAGTGCAGCACAGGTGCGTATGATTGAGAGCAGGATCGGGACTTGTACCGTAGCATGTATCGTAGGGACTTCAACTCACACTCCCACTTGATCTCGGCGACGTGAGTCAAGTCGACGCGATCACACTCGTAGCTACGATCGCGGACAAGTCACCCGTACTAAGCTCGAAAGCAGGATAGGTCAAAGCTCCACGCGTACAGCCAGCCACGCAAGTGTAGCATCAGTACGTATCCTTCTCCTTGGTCATCAAATGTTGCAGCTTGAGTAGAAGCATCTAGTGATGGCGAACAGTCGTCATAGCAGCCGTAGTTGAGGCACTTGCCTCGCGTGTCGTTGCGGTGCCATCTTCACTGTCCTTACCGTCCTCATCGTTTTTAGCGTCCTTCATCACAATCGGTAAGACCTTCATGGCCTTACGAAAGTGCGCAAATTTCACGACAGCAAGCGCTTTTGTCATCGTGTCATCCACCATGTCCTTAGTACCAACGTGCTGCGTAGTGAGCTTTTCTAGCTCCACGCTACGCCGCACCATGTGGTACTTATTGTCGATGTGCTTCGACTTCGAGTGCTTGCCTGGCTTGGTGCTCAACGAGATTGCTCCCTCGTTGTCACCCAGCAGCAAAGGTGTTGGGTGCTTCCAGGCTAGCTCATTGCATAGACCAGCCTACCATAGTAGATCCTTGGTAGCTTCTGACATCGCCACATACTCAGCTTCACACGTGCTTAGTGCGTTGATCTCCTGCTTCCGTGAAGCATAGGAAATCACATTGCCATCCAGCATGCTAACGTAACCGCTGATACTGCGGCGATCAGCAGGATCGTTTGCGTAGTCGGCATCAGAATAGCAGCAAATGCGAACACTCGTTCCAAGTTGCACGTCCATCACAAGTCCGTAATTATTCGTAGCCTTGAGGTAGCGTAGTACTCTTTTGGCTTGGGCAAAGTGTGAATGATTGTAGTTCGCTAGGAACTTGCCAAGATGTCGCGTCGCGTGTGCAATGTCAGGCCGCGAGGCACTGACTAGGTACTGCAATGCACCTACTAGTTCTCGATAAGGCAGGTATTCCTTGCTCGTAGGTACAGCCATTGTCGAAGGGTCGCCGACTCAGGTGTCGCACACCCATTGCAATCCGACATGTGGAAACGTTTGAGGATCTCCAGTACATACTGCCGCTGACTGTAGATAATCTGTCGGCGCGGCCGATTAATGAGAATCTCAACTCCCAGGAGATACTTCACTGCTCCCATCGTAGTCAGCTCAAACGTCTCTCTGCAAGGAAGCAGCAACTTCCAGGCATACTTCACGTGGTCCCATCAGCAGTAGATCATCCACGTAAACTGTCAACAAAAGTTTCACTTCACCGTTCTCTTTCAGTGCGTACAGACCATAGTCAGAGTCCATACGTTCGAATCCCATCGTCATCAACTTTGTGTGTAGTGTCTTGTTCCAGATATTCGGTGCCTGCTTCAAACCGTACAAACTCTTGAGGAGCTTGCAGATAAAGCCTGGTCCGTCCACTTGGAAGCCGGGCGGTTGTTCCATAAAGATGAGCTCCTCCAAATCTCCGTAGAGAAATGCAGTCTTCACATCGTATTGTAGAACCTCCCAGCCACGCTGCACTGCATAGTAGATGGCAGTCCGAATGGTTTCGAATCGTATCACTGGTGCATAAGTCTCGCAATAGTCCACCCCCAGGCGCTGCTTAAAGCCGTGGATGACGAGACGAGCTTTGAATCTCTTGATTCTCCCACGCTCATCTCGTTTGACTGCAAACACCCAGCGACACGTGATAACTTTGACGCCCTTGGCTACCGCTCGTGGTACCAACTTCCATGTCTTATGGCTCTTTAGTGATTGCAACTCTGCAAGCATGGCTTCTTTCCATCGCAACCAATGCTTGCTCCGACGCGCCTGCTTGTAGGTGGTCGGGATCTTCATGTCCATGCCAGTGGCCAGCACATGGCCTACCACATAATCTCGTAGTCGTACGCTCTGTTTCTGCGTTCGTCTTGGGCGTTTTAGGCATGGCTCGACTGGTGGCTGTTGCTTCTCAAATCCGGTCACCTCTTCCTCAGTTGAAGCAGGTTTCTTTCGCGCTCTTCGCTTGCGCTTCTTTTTCGCTTTGGTAGCCACTTCTGTCTCCTCAGCCGGCTCTTGCACGGCAGCCGGTGCAGCAACACCAGGCTGCAACTCAGCACTGTTAGTAATCGCATTATCACTAGTCGTAGGTGAGTCAGCCGTCGACGTTCTCCCACTGGAACTCTGCACATTCTCAGCTGTAGCGTCTGCTATTGGTAGCACTTCAAGTTGTTGAGCAGTGCACACGTCCTCCTTTCCAGGCAGATATGTCACCATGCTCGTCTTTATCCGTGTCACCGGAACAGTCTCAGGTAGTTGATGGTCTCCATCATGGAATGCATTTTCCAGCAGCTGCTTCACGTACGTCCCGTTCGCCGTGAATTCTTCATGGAAGCGCACGTTGCCCCCACGAGCAGTGACCACCTGAGCTGTTTCCAGATCAAGAAACTTGTAGCCAACAGTAGTATCACTGTAGCCGAGTAACAATGACAACTTTGCCCTTGGTTGAAGCTTCTCTTTCTTTTGTCTTGATTCCGGAGGCACACGCACATGTGCAATACATTCCCAGATTCGTAACTCATCGACATCAGGTGCACTTCGAAATAGCTTGTGAATCGGAGTGACCAGCCCCAGTGACTTTGTCGGTAGTTTGCTCAGTGTGGCAACTATATGCAGTAGTGCCTCACCCCACAGCGTATTTGATAGACTCGTAGCACTTAGCATAGCCCGAACACGAGGCATCACGATGCCATTTGCTCTCTCCACAATTCCGTTTTCTTGTGGTGAATAGGCGTTCGTGAATTGCTGTTCGATACCATTCTCTGCACAGTAATTGGCCAGCTCAGTACTCGCAAGTTCGCCGCCTTGGTCCGACCGCAATCGCTGAACCGCAAGTTTAGGTAGCTTCGTCTTCAGTTGAGTCAACAGCACCTTGATATGCCATGTCGCTTCACTCTTCTTTTCAAGTAAATACGCCCACTTGTATCTAGTTGACTCGTCAATGATGAGAAGAAACATGATGGCACCTCCAATCGTAGGCTCGTTCACCGTACAGATATCCATCATGAGTTTCTCTAGTGGCTTGGGCTTTCTCACCAATATTCGTGAGTGCGTCATGCGTCTCGATTTGCTAGCCGCACATGCAACACATTCGTAGGAGCTAAGACCATTTGCATTCATCTTTACTCCAACATCGAGCTTGTTTAAAAGTACTCGCACAGTGTCCATACTGGCGTGGCCAAAGCGCTGGTGAAGCAGCTCCATGCTTTTCTTGCTGTCAAAGTTCTGCTTCAGTGCCGCCATCACCATTACACCAGGCACCCGCTCAGTACGTAGACGATAGATGTTTTCGTGCATTGCAAACTTCAGTATAGTCCCAGGCTTGGACATCCAGGCCGTACGCTGGTCATGCGAGCACGTCAGCTTGTACTTCCCGGTCATCTGCAGATAGCCTAGACTGATAATGTTCACTTTAGCGTTGGGAGTGTACACCACGTCGTCCAGTAGCCGATCCTCCATCATTCCAGTTGCCTGTTTCATTACACGCAGTAGTACAGAACCACAGACAGATGCATGCTCAGTAGTGCCGTTAGCAAAGGCGAGACGACTTGCACTGTCCTCACGTATGGTAGTGAACAGAGCAAGGTCGCCACATACATTGGCCTGGGATCCAGAATCGAGGATCCACTCGACCGCATCGCATTGCATACCTTGATTGTGGGCAACTGCATTGACTTGCCATGATCTGGTTGATCCATCGCAGGGTGGACCAGCAAATCGACGTGGAGAGCGCCGAGGTGACATATCACGTCTACGATTACCATCGCGGTAACCATGTTCATCATAACTTCTGCCACCACCACGAGGAGGTGAAGGACCACGCTCACGAGGTGGCCCATCACGCCACTGCTGCTGCTGGGGCAGCTGCGGTCCATAGCGGCTTGGTGGGTCATTACGCCACTGCTGTCGTGGCTGAGGTCCATAATGACTGGGTGGTTCACGAGGTGGCGAGCTCAAACGTCCACCCCATCTCGGTGGAGGTGACGAACTGCGTCTCGGTGGCCCCCACGGCAAAGCATCAGTGCGTCCACGAGGTGGCGATCTGCCACGCCAACCTTGCATACCAGGTGGTGACCGACTGCGTCCTCGATTGAAGTACATAGGCTCATCACGAAGTGGAGAGCGTCCACGTGCTTCACGTCCGTACTGACGTCCTTGCTGATACGGACTCAGTTGCATCTGATTCCCATAACTTTCGTCATGTCCTTGGCTTCTGAGTATGTCCAAATGGATCCCTTGAATGCCATCTCCGCGCACGAGCGGACCCCCTTGTGATCCACCCTTGTTGTGCTTCGGCTCAGGCAAAGGTTCAACATTCGACACGCCCTTCAGCTCTTGACTGATATGGAGCAGTATCTTCTGCCACGTAGGTACTGATCCTTGAGACTGCACGCCCTCCCACTGGCGCTGCACAGCGTCCGTCACAAGTGTCTGCACCGCTTGTTGAACTGCAACATCAGCTAGAGCAGGTACTGCAGGCGGCTTCTCTTCCAACTCCAATTGTTGCGAGGTAGCCATGGTACTATTGGGGAGGTTCAGTCCTGCTTGATCATCGTCATTCGGGCTTGCAGGAGATGTGGGCGAGTACACTGGTGACGCCTCCGCATCTGGTGACGCATTGCCAGTTAGGTCCACAGTCTCCGTGTCACTTCCCGCACACAACGACACTCCAGTAGTCAGACCTTGAGCATCACTCTCACCTTGAACGACTTGCACACGACGTACAGAGCCAACGAGTGAAGCAGGTGGCTTCCTGCTTTGCTTCTTCTCTGCAAGCTTTCTCGCTAGTTCTGCCTTGAGTGGTTTGCCCGTTTGATCCGTGCATTCAGCGTACCAGTGACCGTCACCACTGCAGCTGGCGCACTGAGTACGCTGCTTCTTATCGACCACAGCCTTCATTTGCTTGCGTTGCAGCTTGCCGCGCTTGCGATTGTTGCCGTTACCCCTACTTGCACCTTGACCACCAGCGACATGGGCCACCTGCATAGGGCGTGCCACATCAGTAGCCGGCCTCGACTGTAGCTCGAGCTGGTTGCGCAGGTGTTCAGCCGACCGGAGACGCTGCAACGCCTCTGTCAGCTTCAATGATTTGCGATCATTACTGTTAATCCAGTTTGCGTGTTCTCGAGCAAGGTCACGAAACACCAACACGACATTCGACAACAGCAAGCTGGCGTGCTGCCATTCCTCGAACTCGCCCTTGGCCTGACGCAGCATCGTCACCTTGCGCTCGATGTCGTCGACGTACACCGTTACAGACTCGTTCGTTTGCAACATCCTTGTCATGAGATCTCGCATCAGGTAATCAGGGTTGATTCCGTCGCCAGCCTCGAAGTGTTTGGTAATGTAGGTCCATAGGATAGACGCAGCCTCCACGTTGTCCCTCATCTCATCGATCTTGAATTTGGACCTCAAGTCCACTGACAGCGACAGTGCGAGTGCAGAAAATGCCTTGTTCTTTCGTGCGCAGTACCATTCGTTGTACTTGGGTCTCTGGTACCCGAGCGCAGCGTCAAAGCGCTCACCACCGTACGTAATGGCACCGAGTGTGCGTGGCTCGAAGTGTAGCGGCACTTTGCTGCGCCACGCCTTGTAATCGGCCTTAATCACGAGCTTGGGCAGTAGGATGTCCGGGGAGTTCCGCAGTGCCTTGGCGTACTCCGCCAGTTCCTTGTCGTCGTATCTCCCGCCGGGGAAGGTGTTGTCCATGCCCGCTTCCTCACGCCAGTTCTCACTTGCTCCACAGACGTCGCGCTGTTCCTCTGTCTAGGGCTGCCGTTAATTTGAGACTTCCGCAGAATGAAAATCTTGCATACCTTCAAGCAACCTTCGGATGAAAGGTTGACCATCCGTACTTTGGACCAATGATCGAATGAAATGCTCAATCTCGTTGTGCGACAGTGGTGTGTCACCACCCACAGTTGCATCTCCAGCCAATCCTTGCGATCCTTGGCTTCGATTCGACGAAACTTCCGCTTGGTCTCTCGAGTCGTTGTTGTTCAAACCAGCTGACACGTCAGCCGAGTTCTGCGCCCTGATTGGGCTCATAACCTGAGGTGACCCAGGGCGCGTCACCGGGCTGCTCTCGAGCTGTCTATCGCTTCTTAGAGTAGGTGCCATGAGGCAACTGACACTATAGTAGCAGTAGAAGTAAGAGCAGGTAGAAGAAGTACGTTTAACACAGTAAGTGCCGGGGCAAAGATCGACAGGACCGTGGCGTTCTGGTGTGGGGCAGTTGCTTGCTGCAGATAGCAAAAGCCGAAGTGATGCACTGCCACACACCCGAGCGCCAGCGTTCCGCAAAGTAGATTAGTTCATAGTATCTTCAAGTAAGTCTATAGTAGACACCAATAAGATGCCGTCCACTGCGGCAACACTTGTGCCGTGGCTCACTGCCAACCATGTCTCGATGCATACAAACATCAGTATGTTTGTACTCGGTCCCGCTGCAGTCGCGAAGCCGGAGTGCAGCACAGGTGCGTATGATTGAGAGCAGGATCGGGACTTGTACCGTAGCATGTATTGTAGGGACTTCAACTCACACGGTCTGGGTGCTAATTATAATCTGTTGTTCTAGCACTGTTCACCTGTTAAGTACTTATGATCCCTACTGGCCTGTTGTCAGTATTTTTCAGCTGTTAGTTGTTCTCGTTTCTAAGTACCCGCATAAAGAATAACAATTTTGATAGTTTTTGTGGAAGGTGCAGGCGAGATACACGGACACCAACTGCAACGAGTTGCAGTGTTACATGTTGAAGGAGACACAATATAATTAATATCTTCGTTATTTTTTATTTTACGTTGATGAAACTAATTTTTACGTTATTACCTATGCTTTGACGACAAGTAATAAGCCTCACATATAAAATAATAAAGTACTTCCATAGCGCAACTTGTAGAGACATTGTATGTATCCAGTGGTATGCATCAGTACTATTGAAGCTGCACGCATCTTTTGAATGTGGTTGTGACCTTAACGTACTCGAATCGAAAGGTAGATTAAATTGTTAGCAGGTCCCTAGTTCTCAGCACCCGAAGCGCTCGATACATCTAGCCTCTAATCATCAAATGTATGGTTGCCACATGAATCATTTCGCCACTTTTGCCTAGTTTGTAACACGAATGTGTAGGTTGTGGGCTCGGTTGACAGCTGTGGCTAGCTGTTCAGCTTCATAATCTTGAACACTACCGTCGCCAAAACGCACCGACCATTTGTACACTCCGTCTGAGAGCCGTACAGCAATGACGTCGCCAATGACCGAGCTGGATTCGGCTGTTTGGTCGGGAGCAACGTTGAAATTGCCCACTATTCTCCATTGTAGTGGCTATCCCGGTCGCTTGAGAAAAAGTCGAACGAGTCGATTCACCTCATAAAACCCGTCCTCGTTACTCTGTGTTGTCAGGGCTAGACGCCTAGCTGGAGGTCGACCTGGTGTACGTCGACCTGGAACAGTAGCCATAGCAGTACGTAGATCCAAAAGGTCCAACAAGGACAGTACAGCTAGTACGTGAGAACACACCCATCCTGATCGGATAAAGGCCTCGCATGTACATTGCAAGAATTTCCGTAGTCGTTCGATCGTCTCGTGTGACCAAGTTGGTAAAAGTTCGAAAGGATGTGGGTACTCTTGGTGCTTTACCATCACTCTGTGCAGAGAAAGCAGCTCAAACTCTAGCTTCAATTAAGTGATTCGTCTGGGGAAACGACCTTCGAGAGACTTCAGGAATTTAGTCACTCGTTCATTGTCCACATTAGCTCCAAGCATACCCTGACCACCAACGATATGCTTTGTATCGCTAAATACGACAGCACTTAGGCGTCGTAGACGTCCTCTGCCTTTGTAGACGAGCTTGTAGTTACGTTGGGTAGCAACCAGAAGTTCAGCTTTTACCATCATTTCTGGTGGAACGGGACCTTCGCTGAAGTGGGCGACCCTAAGAGGGCAAAGATCCTCTCCATCAGCCTTAAGAATTCTAGGTAGAATGCCGCTTAGTACACCATTGGCGGATGCACGAGAGCTGGGAACGCAGGTCTTCTTAATGACGCTGTGGTGCGACTCAATCCCCTGTTGACTCTGTAATACTCCTCCAACTTTGGCCCCGTTAACATGCCACCTATTCCATCTCTCACTCAGGTAAGCTTCTTTGAACCAACTCGCGTAGGCACTCTCTCCATTAGTAATCCAGTGTTCTGTAACTACGTCCGCAAGCTTAACGAACTGCTTGTGAGTGCGAGCGGCTCGAAGGAGGTCAATTCCGGGCCTAATCATCTCGGCGTACAGCTCTGCATTCACCAATAGAGTTTTTTTTGTCGCGAGTTCCGAGCCATATGAGGCCAGCACGTGATAAGAGTTACCTCTGGCCATACCTCACAAAAAGCAGACGCAATAGCTTCTAAATGGTCGAGACTTCCAAAGGCAACTTGTACTTCCACTCCTAGAAACGACAGAGCTCGTTCGCAGACAACCTCAAACATCTTGGCGTATCCAGCTTTTGACTCCGTCCTGACGAACATATACACCCACGGAATAAACCTGTGAACGTACTTGCCTTTGGACCACGTTAATCCGACGGAGCCACAGTCAACCACAGTCCACCCTCCAAAGTGTAGTTTATAAGTTCCATCAGTTGCACAGACGAGAGAATCACCTTGATCTCTTACTGACCGGGTTACATTTCCTGAAGACTCGTCGTGTTGTGACCACAACACCAAATGAAGTACCCTCATCAGGAGCTTGACCATCGAAGATGAATGTGTCAAGCACTATCATTTCATCCATCCGTCTATCGTTCGGGTCGTCTACGGCCATGAACTTTTCACGAGTATCACACACTCTCTGACTTGCCCAGGCAGTAAAAGTTACATGGTTTGAGATATCCCAACCATTAGCGGAGCTACGAACAAGAAATGCTTTGCGATTCTCAAGCTGTTTGCAGCTCGGTACCATGCGAGGGGATCTTGGTTCGTCGTGGTATCGATGATTTAGCATAGATCGGAGCTGCTTAGCTCCCCAACCCATGTCCAGCAACGCGTCCACTTCGTCTAGAAGTTGGGGGTGAATTCCTCGACGGGTGACCGTAGCTGGCTGTGATCCGTGACTTCCGGTTCGTTCGAGATAATACTGTGTTGGGGCTTCGGGTTCAGCCGCAGTTTTGATTTTGAAGCGAACCCCACAATTAATGTGCGAACGGCAACGATATACCCTAGTCAGTAGTCGATCGCTCTCGTATCGAGTTTCGTAGGTATAGACATCATTGCTTCTGTCGACCATCGCCCTGTATGCTGCCGAAAACGAGTCGAAGGTGGCTTCACGTCTGTATGGTCGCTGCGAAGCCACTTCTTCGTTTGCAGTCGTCGATATTCCTTCTACTTCATCTTCGAGCTCGAAGGCGGAATCATTCGAACTTTCCACCGCATGGTCGAGGTCCACATCAGAAAAGTCTATATCGCTCAGCGCGATAGAATCCGCGTTGCTGTCGGCGGCGTCGTTAGACCCAACAGCGGCGTTGACTGCCATACTGGGCCGGATTAAAACTTGAGCTGCTGCTAATACGAAGTCGTAGTGTTGATTATATTGCGAAAGTAGAACTGTCTAACTTACGATCGCTGTAGCCTGGAACCTTGGAGTTTGCTTCCAAGTGGTAGTCCATCAGCAGCTGTAACCTCGCACGTGTCTTCTTACGATTCGGTTGAACGGCGTTGCCACTAACATCATGATAGCGTTGGCGATCTGCTTCAATATGCTCCATCAGAGACCACACCAAGTGTGCTGGCTGCAGGGTGGAGGAGCTGATACAAGATGTGGCTCTATACGCCACCGTCACTCCGGATTGGCTCAGGAAGTCCCATGTAATCGGTTGTATGCTGAAGCAAATGTGCAAGTCGTAATCAAAGACGGACGCAACCGCTGGCCTGGAATAGAGGAACTCCGTTCGCTTTAGCGTTACTGGTTACGGCCATTTTGTGCGCGCTCAGCTCCAATTCTGGTCTAGGCATGAGTCCGAACCGAGACTTTGGCTTTCGCCTCTTCACTTATATCATCGGGTATCACATGGTGTTCACGGAAGACTCGTACTATTTCTGGATCCCGATCGTAGCGCCTCTAATTGGAGGTGCTATTGGCGATGGACTATTCATTATCTTCGTTGAGAGGCAGCACCCAGGCCTCCCGCAAAAAGTTACATCGGATCGAGAGCGAGTTCTCGAAAGTGCATAGGATATTTTTGCTAGACTTCTATCCAGTCGACTCAGTAACCCTCCATTAAAAAATCTTCAATCCATGTTGAGCTCGTATATTCCAGATGTCAGGGAACCGGAAAATGCAATACTAAGATTAATACATCGATGTGAGCTAAGAAAATTAATAATTCAATTATTTGCATTATTCCGGCCCATACTCGAGCGTACCTTGTCCACCGCACTCAGGTCCCACAAGTCGCGATTGTAGTTCAGAAACATTATCATCTCAAGCCTGGCTGGAGACATTCGCTTCCGTAGATCAGACAGCACCAGCTTAGCAAGAGAGAAGAAGCGCTTACACTCGTTAGACGTTGGCGGGATGTACGCGACGTCAACGTAGTGCGAGCGCTTCACGACCTTGCGTTTCTTGAACGCTGCTCTCACAATAGAGTACTCCTCGGCGACTCTTGAAGACGACCGTTCGAGATCAGGGGATCTAAATTCAGCGCAGGCTAATTTTTCCGCGACGTTTAGCGCCTCCCCACGCTGTAACTTGACTAGACCTTGCTCTAAATTGGGGTTGTTCACTATAGATGCCGTTGTTGACAGCCGAGGCTGTAGGGCTGGGTATTCCTTCACAACCTGGTCAAAAAGACGTCGCGAAGCGGACAAAGTTAGCGTAGACTTCTGCAGCTCCTTGGTAACGGCTTCAAAAACTGCTAAGTCTTTAAGAAGCGCCTTGACGCGCTCGTGCTCCGCACGCCGTAGTAGGAGAGGTTGCACATCATGCTCCACGAGGACATTGAGGCCCAGCTGAACAATTGCCGGCTGGAGTTTGGCGTAGCGCTCTACCATCTCGTACGTGCTCGACCATCTGGTGTCGTTCCTCAGCAGAGGAGACAGATGGGAGAAGAATGGCTCTACCTTTGATCGTACGCAGCTTGGACATCAAGGTATGGACCTTAATTATCAACTCGTCTTCGTTCTTGAGGAAGTCCTTGACCGCTAAATTAAAGCGGTGGCTAGCGCATCCGATTAGCGGTATAGCCATCTCCTTCCGGCCAATGTACTGGTTAACGGAGCAGTTATCGCCGACCATGAACTTCACTGCGCTCCAGGGCTTGTTGTATCGCGACAGCGTATCAGCGATTAGGTCGTACTGGCTCTGTGCGCTAAGATCTTCATCCGTCTCTACGGGCGAGAAAGCTAGCAGCACGAAGCGACGAGATAAGCACTCTAAGTCCTCGTAGTACTCACTAGCCGCGCTGCTACCGGTTTTACCGGTATTACCGGTGGCACTGTCAAATACCGCAAAGATTGCAACGTAGTGACGGTTCTGCTTGTCCAGCCGTCCAATACGAGACCAAATGATTCGGGCAGCTCACTGGCTACACGGCCCTCAACTACCTCGAACAGCAATACTATATAGCGGAGTAGCGTGTCCTCTGACACGGTAGAAAGTGCCACATTCAGCCGGGTGAGCCTTCGCTCCACAAATGCAAACGGGAGGCGCTCACGAATCACCCATTCAAGCCAACGGTGTAGATCCCGCGTACGTTGGCTGACTAGGCAAAGGTTTAGGGAATTCTGGCGGCGAACAGCTTCTTGGGCTTCTTGCTCATAGTCCTCGTGGTTGCGTCGTAGGTGGTTTAGTAGATTCGTGTAGCCGTTGCCCTTCTTGTACTGCTTGCCGCAGGTCGTGCAGTTGTAGAAGCCGTCACCAACCTCAGTGAAGAGCATTGAGCAAATTTGGCTGCTCGTTAGGACCATGATGGGTAGAGAGGGCACTGTAGCGGTAGAGGGGTGCCCAGAAGACTGTAGATTGAATTCTGAATGGATGTTTGGTAGGTTTGGACGTGGCCGGCAGCCTGTATTGTAAATGGCTGGTAGCAAGCGACCCTGTGGACTTTGTTGGCATGTACCTTAGCAATTTATGAATGAATTGTAACAAATTCAAAAATGAATTGAGGGGTAAGAATTAATAATTAAATTAAAAAATATAATTCATTTTTATGCATATTATTTTTTCGGGTTCCCTGACGCACGCAGTGCTCCACCAAACGAACCGTAGCCAGATATGGCTCGCAGACGACAAGACCAGGAAGCTGCCGATCATTCTAAAAAGTGTGCACCTCCGCGAGTGTCTTGCCGAGTTCTTAGGCACGTTCGTGCGGCCTCGGCTGGAACAACCAAGTCGCGCTGTCAAAAGGGGCCAATGGATCGTGGTTGAGTATCAACATTTGCTGGGGCATCGCTCTACTCATGGGCGTGTACATCGCGGAAGGAGTCAGCGGTGCGCACCTCAACACGGCCGTGACCTTCACACACGCGATGTTTGGCCGTATTCCATGGTGGAAAGTGCCGGGGTACGCTTTCGCGCAAACATTCGGCGCGTTCGTCGGGGCTGGGCTGATCTACATCTACCAGTATCAAAACATCATGGAAGAGGACCCAGACAAGATCGCAATGCACGCCAACTTTGCGACGTATCCGAACGAGAAGATCTCCAACCTCACTGCGTTCTACAGCGAGGCGCTGGCCACGGGCTTACTGCTAATTGCAATCTACGCTATCACGGATCAGCGGAACCGTGGCGCTGGTACCGTTGGTACGCCATTCGCTTTCTCTCTGCTCTTCATGGGGCTCGAAATGGCTTTTGGTATGAACACTGGCTATGCGCTGAACCCGGCGCGGGACTTTGGTCCAAGACTGCTGACGTTCTTTGCTGGTTTCGGCTCGAAGGTGTTTAGCAGTAGAAATTACTACTTTTGGATCCCAATCTTCGGACCAATGCTGGGCGGAGTCATCGGTGCTGGAGCCTACATTTTGCTGGTGCAAATCCAGCATGATGTTGAAGATGAGGAGGAGGACGTGTAGACGAACCTAGATTGAGTGACGACTAACAAAATTCTTCGTACTTGCTCAAAAATGACATGCATTTACATAAATCTATCTGCTTATAGACCTAAAAATGCACGTTATTTACTTATTAATGGAGACTGTAGTCTTCTGTCGCACCGACGAACTTACATGTTAGGTTGCTTATTGTCCTTAGAGCAGCAAAGTTTATTCATATGTCGAATGCGCTCCACACAACTGCCCCGTATCATTTCTTCAGATCCACATTGAGAGCCACGTGTTTCACTTGTCACGTATGAGGCTCTCCACGTGAGCGTCTCATGTTATCCATAAAGCATGATACTGCTTTGGAATCGCTTCATTATTCGTTTCTTCCAGCAGCCAAGAACACCAGCTAACACCTCAACCAACATGGAGGAAGCAAGCTTCGCACACAGTGGAGATATCTTCTCTCTCACCGACAAGTCCGGATACCAGATTCCGTACTACATCAAGACAGTAGGAACAGGCGGAGAAAACGTCGGGCACCGTCGCCGGATGCCACGATCGTACTCCACACACTCCATGCTGCACGAAACCAACCGCAGCCACGTATACATCACTGGAAGCGCCCGAGAGCATATCCCGTTTGTGACTAAGAGCGTACACATGCGGGAGTGTCTGGCCGAGTTTCCTGGTACTCTCGTGTTCCTCTGCTTTGGTATCGGGGTCAACAACCAAGTAAATCTCTCGGACGGCGCCAACGGCACGTGGCTCAGTGTCAACATTTGCTGGGGCATTGGCGTTCTCGTCGGTGTCTACGTCGCTGAAGGCATCAGCGGTGCGCACCTGAACACCGCCGTCACGTTCACACACGCAGTGTTTGGACGTCTTCCATGGTGGAAAGTGCCAGGCTACGCAGTAGCCCAAACGATGGGCGCGTTCTGTGCCTCTGCTCTTGTCTACGTGCTGCACTGCCAGCGTCTTATGGAGATCGACCCGAACGGAGTGACCACACAAGGCAACTTCGTGACGTACCCCAAGGACGGCATCTCGAACCTCACTGGTTTTTTACAGTGAAACATTGGGAACTGCATTGCTACTCATGGCCATCTACGCCATCACCGACGAGCGTAACCGAGGTGCAGGCCCCGTGGGAACTCCGTTTGCATTTGCCATGCTGTTCATGGCCCTCGGCATGGCATTGGGAATGAATACCGGTTACGCTTTGAACCCAGCACGTGACTTTGGTCCTCGTTTGTTCACTCTACTAGCTGGCTACGGCCCCAAGGTGTTTTCTTCCAACGCCCACTACTTCTGGGTCCCTATCATTGGTCCTCTTCTCGGAGGCGTTATGGGCGCTGGAGCGTATTTCTTTATTGTGCAATTGCAAGAGGACACTGACGAGGAAGAGAGTGTGTAGTATTCCTTACTGGTAATACACATTTGTGAATAGAAATCTGATCTGCTAACTTATTAAACGAGACTTATGAGATAGTCTCAACGCTATTGGAGCGTTTTATGGCGCTGCGTTAGCGGAGACTATTGTAGGCTGTTTCTTTCAGTGCGAGTAGAGATATCTGGACTGGATATACCGCGAGATTGCGTAGAGCCATTTTTTGAGTCGCGAAGGCAGCACGAGAGCCACCTGTATCCGTTGTGCGACGATCGCACCATCCTCATCCTGCACGTTGGCGATGCCGTACTGGAGCGGGCGCGGATGGTATTCGAGTGCACGTTGAGGGGTTTTCGAGTGCAGACATTTTTGCCACGAAATGGCGGCATGCCGAGTGCAGATAACACATGGCGATATCGTCGGCTCTATACTTGTCTTGTCCGGTCCATGCTTGTTTGAATTTACTACACTGTCCTTGGGGCCGGATGCAGAGCTCACCAGGATGTAAGAGGAGAAAAATACATGTATTTGTGAGAAGAAAACATGAATGAGGCTTGGATCCTGGTTCACTTCCTACACAAGGTACGCTGAGCTCCGCTAGTCCAGTCCTACGCTCACATGCTCAATGCCAACTGTCACTCCTGATCGTCTTAGCTGTCCAAGTCCTGATCGTCGTCGGCGTCACGGTCGACACTGCGGGGATGCGACTCGTGTGTGCTTGCGTGGGCGGCAGCACTCTTCGTAACATCGAGGCCAGTACGTCTTGATTCTACGATCAGCTGCACCAATTCCTGGCACTCTAGGAAGACTTGCTTGCCTCCCTCGAAGTCGACAAGCCATCTATATCTACCACCCCGACTTGAGTAGGCTTGAATTGTGCCAATCATGCTGATGTCTTCCGCCTCCTTATCGTTGCTGCAACATGTAGCTTACATTAGCTACGTCTGAACTAATGAAGGCAGAGCCTTGACGCATCTTCTTCCGTGCTCAAGCCTTAACCTCAGCAGTGCACTCGGTCATTCCCTCAAGTTGAACAAGGGACACTCGGTTTCACACCTTTCGAGCAAAAAACTAAACGGTGCACTCGATTTCCTAAAAAAAGCACTCGAAAGTAATATCGTTCCTACTGGAGCACTCCTAGGTGAATGTCCAGCATTGGCTTTTGCAGAGCGCAAAACGCTTTGAATTCTAGCGAGCTACAGGAAATAACAAGAGGTAAGCCACAGCTATCTGCTGGAGCAAGAACGCGATGGATCTTGCCTGGGCGCTTAAGATTGGAGAATGGCCGGGAACTGCTAGCGTGGTGCATTGCGTACCTTTGGCGCCAAGAAACGCGAACATGGCGGGTGCGTTAAAAAAAAACCGGAAACAATCTCCGTTTTTTTACCCATAATCATTTTGGACTGGAATCCGAGTGTCCATAATTTATTATAGGCACTCGTTATTTAGCCAGACTATGTAACAACAGACAGTACAATTACACCAGAATGCAACCGATTAGCATGCCCGAATATGCCAGACTCAGGAAGAGCCGGACGTGTCATCAGTTGACGTGTGTTCGGAGTATACGTATAACCGGATGTCAGTGTGTTGGCTTTGAAACTGAAACCCGCAAGACATTCAGCATCTAACTCTCAAGACAAAGTGCAGGGGGAATAACCTGGAGGTAGTCAACGCATCAAACACACTAACAAAAGACCAAATCATTGAAAAACTAGTTGCATTAAATGCACATGCACAGGTACCGATAGCGCAAATACTGTAGCTCCTTCCGACTTAGCAGATATAGGTTTTCAGCACCGGCAAATATCTCAAAAGCTAACAGCATATACATGCCACAATTGTAGCTATCAACCTCCACTCCAAGCTCGCTCGTGTATGGTCGAATTCGGTAATTTCTTGTAGCGAAATCTGGCAGCAATGCTACCATCTTCTCAGCGAGAGGTCGAACTTTTACGCCGTAGCTTGAGCTCATTGGATCATAGATAAAAACTTCTTTAAGCGACAGATCCATCATAACCGCACACCAGTGATTCTTGTTGCAGATGACAGGAATCAAAATCTTTTGGTTTGTCATGCCAGCAAACACGTTAGTGGCTGAGCTTACACCGGTGATGCACGATTCATCCCAACTGAGCCCGATTATGCCAGATTGGGTTTATTTCGCTACAAACCAAAACTATAGTAATCGCATACCTGTGCTGAGCATCCTTGGGCCCGTGTCTCCTGACGCGGCCGCTTGCTTGTGGCTTGCGATCGGTATGTGCCGTGGTGTGTACACACGTACGTCTTCGCGTACTGATCCCACTCGGCCGGGATTTTAGTCGCCGCGGAGCCCTGAGCATCTATCCTAGCATTCCGTACAGCCACTGAAGTGTTTGTTCTCACTCGAAATATCTAGCAGACAAGCAAAACGTGATGAGACGGTATAGACAAACACAACAGATAACTTAATAATGTACCTGGAGTGACTGCGCTTGGTACAGCGCTAGATAGGCCTCGAAGTCCTTCCACGACTGAAATTGTGTCTCTTGTGGTGACGAGGCGAGGACACAAATCTGACCCGATTCTTCACTTGCGCTACTGGTTACCGCCTCCGCCTCAGCAGAAGTCGGGCTCGACACTGGCTGCCAGTCACTCACGGAGCCGTCGGAGTCGTTGCTGGCGCTGTCGCTGTCGATACCCTCCAGTGCCAGGGGGCGCTTCTGTGCGCTGCGTGGCCGTGGTGCCATTTTCGTGCGTTTGGAGCCACGCGTTTGCTGGAGGGGGAGATTTTTTTGTGGTTCAGGAAACGGTGGCATACTGGTATACAGTATCTATACGCTATACCTAGTACGGATGAGTGCATACACAGATAATCGGAAGATAGGAAAGATTTGCTATGAGTAGAGTGTTTCCAGTCTGGCAAAATAGTCATTCTCTTTATTATAAAGGTCTCTAATAGAGACCTTTCGCAACCTGTTTTTTGTTGAGTTTCAGTCTTCTTTTGAGTTTCTAGGATGAGCCCTCTCAAATACGATACTCAAACTGGCCGGTTTGCTCAACGAGGAAAACCGGGCATGATTGTGGGCAAGAGCGACGAGACCAATGGCTATCATGTGTACATTCCCAAGGACAAGGTAGCTGTAGTGACCCAGCACATGAGCAACGTGGAGACACTCAGTGAAGCTCAAAATGAGCAACTTAAACGAGTACATATCGAGGAGGCTGAGGGGGTTGAGGACTCGGAGACATCGAGGGAACAAACTTCGAAAGAAAAGTCGAAGGGCAAGAAGAAGCGTGGAGGCGAGAGAAACCGCTGGACACGCAACAAACACCAGACACGCGCGGATACGCGGAAGACTGCAGAGACGGCAGCGAGCTAAGGTACTGAAGGGGAATAAGAGAACGAACGTGGTGAACAGTGTGCGCGAGGCGGATACGAAGCGTTACCTCCAAGCAGTGAGGAGCCGATTGTAAAGAACATGGCTGATAGCAATTGCAGAGGAGCTCAAAGCACTGGAGGGAAATGGAGTGTGGGTAGTGGTGGTGTCGCCAGTAGGCAGCCATGTATTGCATACTAAATGGGTCTTCAAGACGAAGACAGACGCTGACGGAGCTAAAGAGAGGTTTCAAAGCGAGGCTGGTCGCGTGCGGCAATGTTTGCGTTGCGTTGGGGAGTGCCGGCAAGGCACGGAAATGTCCCCAATGCATACGCGAAATTAGACAAGGAACAGCACCCGGATATCTACCTTGAATTCCGCAGGAAATGGAGATCGACGAGAAACGGTTGCGCAAGCTGGGTGTTAGTGGCAAGCGCAAGCTGGTCCTGCGTCTGAAGTAGTCACTGTATGGTCTACGCCAAGCAGGCTGGCTGTGGAGCAAGTTATTGCACTCCAAGCTGGAGGAGGCAGGATTCACGCGCTGCGTCACAGACATTTGCCTGTACTACAAGTGCCATCGGAAGGAGAGGATTCTCGTGGGCGTGTACGTCGACGATCTACTCGTCACGGCGTCGAAACCGTCCTTGGTTGACGCGCTCTTCGAGTCGATGAGCGTGCTGTCCATTAAGGACCTTGGTGAGGCGCGCAGGTTCTTGGGGATGCGCGTGGGGCCTGACGAAAGCGAGGGATATTCGCTGAACCTGCAAACGATCATTCAGAAGTTACTCGAGCAGCACAGGCTCGCATGCGCGAACGGCGTGCGGGTGCCCATCGGCGAGAAGAGCAACGACGCTGATGTCAAGGAGCCGGAGCTGCTGACGAAGATGGGAGCACCGGCAGTCCCGACAGTGCGCAGCTTTCAGTCGCTTGTCGGCAGTCTCCTGTGGATTGCACGTTACACACGACCTGACACTAGCTCTGCAGTCCACAAGGCCGCACGTCGCACGCATCAACCTACGACGAGCGACTGAAAACTGGCAAAAAGGATTGCGCAATATTTGAAAGAGACGAAGGCCTTGAAGCTCGTGATGGGGCATCGGCAAAGAACGAGCGCGAGGTCGTGATGAAAAGCTAGATCGGCGCAGACATTGCGGCAGACAAAATGAGACGAGAAGCCCGTTACTGGAGAAGTGGTGACGCTGGATGGCGCTTTAGTGCAATGGGTCTGTAAGAAACAGTCTGGAGTGACGTTGTCAACGATAGAGGCGGAGTTCACGTCGGCATCGCACGTTGGACGGGAGCTGCGCTTCCGGGTGGTGGAGCTTCATGAAGATGAACAATCAGGCTGCCATAAAGCAGCTGGGTCTGAGGAGAGCATGGCGAATGCAGATATTCGAGTGAAGTTCATACGCGACAACGCGAGAAAGGGCGCGATTAAGCACGAAAACGTAGAGTAACGTGCGGTGATGGCTGACCTCCTTACGAAGGTGCTTCCAGTGTCGAGGGTGACCGAGTTACGCAAGATCTTCAACTTGAAGTAAGGCGATCCAAGAGCGCGACGACCGAGGAGGAGTTTTGGAAAACGATTGTCTGGGCGGTTTCTTTGACCGGTTCAGGCGCCGGATCTAGGATTTGCAGAGAAGGAAGGCACGGATAGCTGCCTTG